AAACCACAAGGACCGGTACTTTGATATTTGGCAGATAGCTTTACCCAGATGCTTCTCTGCAATTTTTAGCTCACCTGACCACGAAGTGGTCAAGGTGAGGTATAGTGATGGGGCTATGTCCGGCGTCCGTCGTCGTGCGTTGTGCGTCGTTCGTCGTCACAAATTGGGTTGTTAACAGTCTAGCAGTCACAGTTTTGATTGGATCATCATCAAACTTTGTCAGAATGTTTGTCTCAATGAAATACAGATCGAGTTCGAAGATGGGTTATCTAGGGCAAAACTAGGTCACAGGAGCTAAAAATAGAAAAAGCTTGTTAACACTCTAGAGGCTGCAGTTTTCATTCCAAATATTCTGAAAACTTGTCAGGGAAGGTTGTTTTGATGATATCTAGGGTCAAGTTTGAAGATGGGTCATCTCTGGTCAAAACTAGGTCACGAGCTTAAAAAATAGAAAAAGCTTGTTGACACTCTAATAATTGGGTTGTTAACATTCTAGAGCAGGTCACAGTTTTGATTGGATCATTCATCAAACTTTGTCAGAATGTTTGTCTCCAATGAAATACAGGTCGAGTTCTTCGAAGATGGGGTTTTATCTTGGGTCAAAATCTAGGTCACAGGAGCTAAAAATAGAAAAAAGCTTGTTAACACCTCTAGAGGCTGCAGTTTTCATCCAAATATTCTAGAAATTTGTCAGGAAGGTTGTTTTGATTTATATCTAGGTCAAGTTCGAAGATGGGTCATCTCCAGTCAAAAACTAGGTCACAGGAGCTAAAAAATAGAAAAAGCTTGTTAACACTCTAGTGGCTGCAGTTTTCAATCCAAATATTTTGGAAATTTGTTCAGGAAGGTTGTTTTGATGATATCTAGGTCAAGTTCGAAGATGGTCCATCTCTGGTCAAAAACTAGGTCACAGGAGCTAAAAAATAGAAAAAGCTTGTTAACACTCTAGTGGCCGCAGTTTCATCCAAATTTCTGAAATTTGTCAGGAAAGTTGTTTTGATAGTTTTCTAGGTCAAGTTCAAAGATGGGTCATCTCCGGTCAAAAACTAGGTCACAGGAGCTAAAAAATAGAAAAAAAGCTTTTGTTAACACTCTAGTGGCTGCCAGTTTTTCATCCAAATATTTTGGAAATTTGTCAGGAAGGTTGTTTTGATGATATCTAGGTCAAGTTCGAAGATGGGTCATCTCTGGTCAAAAACTAGGTCACAGGAGCTAAAAATAGAAAAAAGCTTGTTAACACTCTAGTGGCCGCAGTTTTCATCCAAATATTCTGGAAATTTGTCAGGAAAAGTTGCTTTTGATAGTTTCTAGGTCAAGTTCAAAAGATGGGTCATCTCCGGTCAAAAAACTAGGTCACAGGAGCTAAAAATAGAAAAAGCTTTTAACACTCTATAGGCTGCAGTTTTCATCCAAATATTCTGGAAATTTGTCAGGAAGGTTGTTTAGATGATATCTAGGTCAAGTTTGAAGATGGATCATGTCTGGTCAAAAACTAGGTCACAGGAGCTAAAAATAGAAAAAGCTTGTTAACACTCTAGTGGCTGCAGTTTTCATCCAAATAATCTGGAAATTTGTCAGGGAGGTTGCTTAGATAATATCTAGGTCAAGTTCGAAGATGGGTCATCTCCGGTCAAAAACTAGGTCACAGGAGCTAAAAATAGAAAAGTTTGTTAACACTCTAGTGGCTGCAGTATTGATCCAAATATTCTGGAAAATTTGTCAGGAAGGTTGTTTTTGATGATATCTAGGTCAAGTTGGAAGATGGGTAATGTCCGGTCAAAAACTAGGTCACAGGAGCTAAAAATAGAAAAAGCTTGTTAACACTCTAGTGGCTGCAGTTTTCATCCAAATATTCTGGAAATTTGTCAGGAAGGTTGTTTTGATGATGTCTAGGTCAAGTTCGAAGATGGGTTATCTCCGGTCAAAAACTAGGTCACAGGAGCTAAACATAGAAAAAGCTTGTTAACACTCTAGTGGCTGCAGTATTGATTCAAATATTCTGGAAATTTGTCAGGAAGGTTGTTTTTGATGATTTCTAGGTCAAGTTTGAAGATGGGTCATCTCAGGTCAAAAACTAGGTCACAGGAGTTAAAAATAGAAAAAGCTTGTTTGCACTCTAGTGGCTGCAGTTTTTATTCAAATATTCTGGAAATTTGTCAAGAATGTTGTTTTGATGTTTTCTGGGTCAAGTGCTAGATTGGTCATGTCCGGTCAAAAACTAGGTCACAGGAGCTAAAAATAGAAAAATCTTTTTAACACTCTAGTGGCTGCAGTTTTGATCCAAATTTCCTGGAAATTGGTCAGGAAGGTTGTTTTGATGATTTCTAGGTCAAGTTTGAATATAGGTCTGTGTCCAGTCAAAAATTAGGTCACATTGCCCAAAATATGGAAAAATCTTTATAACACACTAGAGGTCACATGTTTGACTCAGTCGCATCAAACTTGGTCATGATGCTTGTTTAAGACATTGCTTGGATGCGGTTGTGTCAGGTGAGCGATCCAGGGCCATCATGGCCCTCTTGTTTTAAAAAATATATCCCTTTGGTCAAAGTTTGTGCAAGCCCAATTTTATTTTTGCTGTTGAAACATCTGCAATAAAAGTGATTAGAATCTTCTCTGAAATTAAAAAGGTCAAGAGCCAAGCTATTAAGCATTGCGTAGTGGTCCTTCACATATATACATTGTATATGTATAAAAATGGGGAAAAAATCTTTAAAATCTCCACTTGTGATACTGCATGAAATAGTGCTAATGTAAATGATAAGCACAAACTTGTGCTATTGTGAATGATAAGTAAAAGTATCTAATGGACCTCTGCAAAAGTTTCATAAACCATGCATTTTGTCAACTGTTTTTCATGATGTAAAATTTAAACAGTATTTTCTGAAACTATATAGCTTTAGGTCTTGATATTTGATATGTAGTATTGTCTATTGGACATTCAGAAAAGTAGTATGAATTGTGTGCCTTAAATATAAAATGACCCCATCCTTCAAGTCACTTTTATTACATTGACTTGTTTAGGGACGAGCTTTGTAGCATTATCGAGTGGATATTTACAACCATTGCATAAATCATGCCCCTGGGGTGAATGGCCAAGCTCAGGAATCACCTTAACTTTTTTAGCTCACCTGTCACAAAGTGACATGGTGAGCTTTTGTGATCGCTTTTCATCCAGCGTCCGTCCGTCCGTCCGTAAACTTTTACATTAACAACATCTCAATATAAACGGCTAAGCTAATTTCATTTAAACTTCACAGTAATGTTCCTTTGGTAGTCAACTTCAAAAATTGTTCAAAGAATTTAATTCCAAGCAGAACTCTGGTTGCCATGGCAACCAAAAGAAAAACTTAAAATATCTTCTTTTAGAAAAACCTAAAGAGCTAGAGCTTAGATATTAAGCATGAAACATCTTCTATTGAGTGTCTACCAAGTTTGTTTAAATAAAAGCCCTGGGGTCAAAATTGGCCCCGCCCCAGGGGTCATTGATTTTCCCTGTATGCATATAGTAAAAACTTAAAAATCTTCTTTTAAAGAACCAAAAGAGCTAGAGCTAAGATATTTAGCATGAAACATCTTCTAATGGATGTCTACCAAGTTTGTTCAAAAAAAAGCTCTGGGGTCAAAATTGGCCCCGCCCCAGGGGGTCATTGATTTTCCATATATATATACATATAGTAAAAACTTTAAAAAATCTTCTTTTAAAGAACCAAAAGAGCTAGAGCTAAGATATTTAGCATGAAACATCTTCTAATGGATGTCTACCAAGTTTGTTCAAATAAAAGCGCTGGGGTCAAAGTTGGCCCCACCCAGGGGGTCATTGATTTTCCATATATACATATAGTAAATACTTTAAAAAATCTTCTTTTAAAGAACCAAAAGAGCTAGAGCTAAGATATTTAGCATGAAACATCTTCTAATGGGTGTCTACCAAGTTTGTTCAAATAAAAGCCCTGGGGTCAAGATTTGCCCCGCCCCAGGGGGTCATTGATTTTCCCCATATGCATATAGTAAAAACTTAAAAATCTTCTTATAAAGAACCAAAAGAGCTAGAGCTAAGATATTTAGCATGAAACATCTTCTAATGGATGTCTACCAAGTTTGTTCAAATAAGAGCCCTGGGGTCAAAATTGGCCCCGCCCTGGGGGACATTGATTTTCCTTATACGAGTAAAGCAAAAACTTAAAAATCTTCTTTGAAAAAACCTGAATAGCTAGAGCTTAGATATTAAGCATGAAACATTTTCTAGTAAGTGTCTACAAAGATTGTTCAAATAAAAGCCCTGGGGTCAAAACTGGCCCTGCCCCAGGTGTGTCATTGTTTTTAACTATATGTGTAAAGAAAAAACTTCTTTTAAAAATCCCAACAAGCTAGACCTTAGATGTTTAGCATGAAACATCTTCTAATGGTTGTCTACCAAGTTAGTTCAAATAAAAGCCCCGGGCTTTAAACTGGCCCCGCTCCGGGGGCCTATGTACAGGTGAGCGACTTCAGGGCCATCATGGCCCTCTTGTTTTCAAATAAGGGCCCTTGGGTTAAAATTGGCCCCGACCCGGGGAGCATTGATTTTCTTTTAATATATATAGTAAAAACTTAAAAATCTTCTTTAAAAAAAACCCAATAGAGCTAGAGTTTAGATATTAAGCATGACTTATCTTCTAGTGAGTGACTACCAAGTTTGTTGAAATAAAAGCCCTGGGGACAAAATTGCCTGCCCAGAGGGGGGGGGGGTCATTGTTTTTCCTTATATATGTATAGTAAAAACTTAAAAAATCTTCTTACAGCTAGAGCTTAGATATTTATCATGAAACAACTTCAAATTGGTGTTTTCCAAGTTTGTTTAAATAAAAGCCCCTGGGTTAAAATTGGCCCCTCCCCGGGGGCCTATATACAGGTGAACGATTTCAGGGCCATCATGGCCCTTTTGTTTTATAGGAAACTCAATACTTAATATGTAGGTAACTCAATATTTAAAAGTTGTTTACCGTTAATTTAGGTGCTATGGGTAAAAGAACAAGGTTCCAGGTAGATGATAAGGCTCAGTTAATCCTGGAAGTCAAAAGAAATTCTGTTAGTTCCTCAGATGTAGACTGTACACAAGTGGAGGTCTCACATACTAACTCCAGTCTTCCAAAGGTAGGTTCCCCTAGTATTTACTTGAAAAGTGTCTAAAAGTTTTTTTAAAAAAACTCACTTTCAGGGGCAGATAACTCAAAAAGTAGTATGATGACTACTTTTATCTCTATAATGATTCTCTTGAATTATAGGAAGTTTGAACTTCATTGCTTTGGAAAAAACTATGACTGGTAAACATCTGTCACAGGGACAATTTTTATCAAGACAGGTTCTACTAGTTGTTATGTATATAGGTCTTACACATTCATCTTATATTGTGGTCAGAATTTAACAAAGAACACCATACTTGTCATGGTTCATGCTTCTTCTTACTTAATGATAATGTACTAAAGTGGATGTTTAAATGTGTTCAGTAATATTGTAATGTATTGATATACATGTATGTTATGTTTTGTTTACCTACAAGGAACTTTTTAGAAATGATCTATTTTGTTTATGCAAGTATAATTCTGTCCTTTAAGGTTGATCAATTGGAGAACTGAAAGTTTTACAGTTGTCATTGTTTATAAGGTAATTGACTTCATTAAAGTTCTCTGTTTTGGTGGCTGCTTAAACAAGAGTCGTTTTGACAGAAGTCAGTATACAAAATTTTTATAAGAAAATTATCAAAAGTGCATTGTCATACCTTGAAATACAACTGTAACAGGGTAACATGTTTGGACAATTTACAGGACCTGAATCTAGATGATGACACTATTCTAAATGCTATCAGCTTTACAGATGGGGATGTAAAATCTACCCAGGTATCTGCAACAGAACAGGCTCTTATTCTAGGAGTCATGTAAGTTTATCATAAAACCAATAGAATTATACTATTTTTGAATAGAATTCGAACAAAACATTTGAATTTTCGTAAGGAAGTCGGCCTGATACTAGGCATTCACCAAATATCAGGAAGATTTTGACAACGATACTTGGATTTTAAAAGCACACAATGTTATTATTTAGATAAATGTAGATCTGCTCTTGCCATAAATGTAGAGACTTGATTATATGTTTAGGGAAGATAAGATAAATGTAGATCTGCTCTTGCCATAAATACAGAAATATGATTATACTTACAGGGAAGATAAGATAAATGTAGATCTGCTCTTGCCATAAATACAGAAATATGATTATACTTACAGGGAAGATAAGATAAATGTAGATCTGCTCTTGCCATAAATACAGAAATATGATTATACTTACAGGGAAGATAAGATAAATGTAGATCTGCTCTTGCCATAAATACAGAAATACAGTTGACTCTCAATTAGTCAAAATCGCTTTACTCAAAATTCTGCCTTAGTCGAATAATTTCTAAAGTCCCGTCAAATTTCCTTCTTTATCTTTGTATTTTAACTCCGCTTATGTCAAATTTTGACTTACCGAGACTCCTGTTTAGTCGAAAAGAAAATTTGGTCCCGTCAATTAAAGTCCACATATTTTCATCTCAATTAGTCAAAGTGTGAAAACAGCCGACTGATCAAAGGTCGGCGACATCAAGGTGAGATGTTGTCACTCGTGATTTACACGTTTCATAGTAATTTTTAATTGCCGGTCATCATGTATTATTAACACGTCGTAAAAGTGTCTTTAATCCGTTTCACGACTTAATTAGTTTTAACATTTAGATAACTAAATTAAAATTTAATTACATTTCTTTAAAAAAGTTTACTCATGCCAGTCTGACGGATGTTAGTCAAATAACATCCTAGTCAAATAACAGCCTAGGTATTGATGTGTATTATCAACGTAAATGATATTTGTTTATCACACACCCGTGCCGATTTTGCGACTCCGTAAATATGGTATTGCACGGCCGTGCATATATTTTGGCGTGACGTCATTAGCGTTATACAAACATAGTGTAAAGACGCGCTAAATGTTAGCGTTATACTATAGGCGCGTCAATGAAAAATGACTCTTATTTAACTTTAAACGGTCTTTATTTTGGGTATGTGATAAATAGAATATTAAATTCGTGTAAGTTCATTACTGAATTTATTGCACTCGTTGAATAAAATAATATTATGCTCGCCAGAGGCTCGCATAATATAATTTTATTCAACTCGTGCAATAAATTCAGTATTGAACTTACACTCATTCAATATCCTCTATATAATTAATGTTCCGTCATATTGCATACATTAATTTGTACTTCCGGTTCACGATAGTTGCTAATTTCGTTTTCGTCCGATGATCAATTAAATCAAATATAATTGTGTGTTTATGTTTCACTATTAATATACATAAATGTACATGTATTAAATTTTGAATGATATATTTTTGTTCATTTATAATTTGTAGTTGAAAGTGATTTACCGTCATTTCAATGGTTAAATATTGCAGCATTGCCGCTAACAACAATAAGAAACCTACTTCTTTGCACATTCAATCATGTACATGTATATACATGTACGAAGTCAACGTAATGGCGGTAGTTCCACGTTACTCGAATTCCGTTTCTCTCGAAGTAAAATACTTAGTCCCTTGGATTTCGAGTTACCGAGAGTCAACTGTATGATTATACTTACATAAGATAAGATTAATGTAGATATGCTCTTGCCATAAATGCAGAGATATGATTATACTTACAGGGAAGATAAGATTAATGTAGATATGCTCTTGCCATAAATGCAAAGATATGATTATACTTACAGGGAAGATAAGATAAATGTAGATATGCTCTTGCCATAAATGCAGAGATATGATTATACTTACAGGGAAGATAAGATAAATGTAGATATGCTCTTGCCATAAATGCAAAGATATGATTATACTTACAGGGAAGATAAGATAAATGTAGATATGCTCTTGCCATAAATGCAAAGATATGATTATACTTACAGGGAAGATAAGATAAATGTAGATATGCTCTTGCCATAAATGCAAAGATATGATTATACTTACAGGGAAGATAAGATAAATGTAGATATGCTCTTGCCATAAATGCAGAGATATGATTATACTTACAGAGAAGATAAGATTAATGTAGATATGCTCTTGCCATAAATGCAGAGATATGATTATACTTACAGAGAAGATAAGATAAATGTAGATCTGCTCTTGCCATAAATACAGAGATATGATTATACTTACAGGGAAGATAAGATAAATGTAGATATCTTCTTGCCATAAATACAGAAATATGATTATACTTACAGGGAAGATAAGATAAATGTAGATCTGCTCTTGACATAAATACAGAAATATGATTATACTTACAGGGAAGATAAGATAAATGTAGATATGCTCTTGCCATAAATGCAGAGATATGATTATACTTACAGAGAAGATAAGATTAATGTAGATATTCTCTTGCCATAAATACAGAAATATGATTATACTTACAGGGAAGATAAGATTAATGTAGATATGCTCTTGCCATAAATACAGAAATATGATTATACTTACAGAGAAGATAAGATAAATGTAGATATGCTCTTGCCATAAATGCAGAGATATGATTATACTTACAGAGAAGATAAGATTAATGTAGATATGCTCTTGCCATAAATACATAGATATGATTATACTTACAGAGAAGATAAGATTAATGTAGATATGCAGAAGATAAGATAAATGTAGATATGCTCTTGCCATAAATGCAGAGATATGATTATACTTACAGAGAAGATAAGATTAATGTAGATATTCTCTTGCCATAAATGCAAAGATATGATTATACTTACAGGGAAGATAAGATAAATGTAGATATCTTCTTGCCATAAATACAGAAATATGATTATACTTACAGGGAAGATAAGATAAATGTAGATCTGCTCTTGACATAAATACAGAAATATGATTATACTTACAGGGAAGATAAGATAAATGTAGATATGCTCTTGCCATAAATGCAGAGATATGATTATACTTACAGAGAAGATAAGATTAATGTAGATATTCTCTTGCCATAAATACAGAAATATGATTATACTTACAGGGAAGATAAGATTAATGTAGATATGCTCTTGCCATAAATACAGAAATATGATTATACTTACAGAGAAGATAAGATAAATGTAGATATGCTCTTGCCATAAATGCAGAGATATGATTATACTTACAGAGAAGATAAGATTAATGTAGATATGCTCTTGCCATAAATACATAGATATGATTATACTTACAGAGAAGATAAGATTAATGTAGATATGCAGAAGATAAGATAAATGTAGATATGCTCTTGCCATAAATGCAGAGATATGATTATACTTACAGAGAAGATAAGATTAATGTAGATATTCTCTTGCCATAAATACAGAAATATGATTATACTTACAGGGAAGATAAGATTTATGTAGATATGCTCTTGCCATAAATACAGAAATATGATTATACTTACAGGGAAGATAAGATAAATGTAGATATGCTCTTGCCATAAATACAGGGATATGATTATACTTACAGAGAAGATAAGATTAATGTAGATCTGCTCTTGCCATAAATACAGAAATATGATTATACTTACAGGGAAGATAAGATAAATGTAGATATGCTCTTGCCATAAATGCAGAGATATGATTATACTTACTGAGAAGATAAGATAAATGTAGATATGCTCTTGCCATAAATGCAAAAGATATGATTATACTTACAGGGAAGATAAGATAAATGTAGATATGCTCTTGCCATAAATACAGAGATATGATTATACTTACAGAGAAGATAAGATTAATGTAGATATGCTCCTGCCATAAATACAGAAATATGATTATACTTACAGAGAAGATAAGATTAATGTAGATATGCTCCTGCCATAAATACAGAAATATGATTATACTTACAGGGAAGATAAGATAAATGTAGATATGCTCTTGCCATAAATACAGGGATATGATTATACTTACAGAGAAGATAAGATTAATGTAGATCTGCTCTTGCCATAAATACAGAAATATGATTATACTTACAGGGAAGATAAGATAAATGTAGATATGCTCTTGCCATAAATGCAGAGATATGATTATACTTACAGAGAAGATAAGATAAATGTAGATATGCTCTTGCCATAAATGCAGAGATATGATTATACTTACAGGGAAGATAAGATAAATGTAGATCTGCTCTTGCCATAAATACAGAAATATGATTATACTTACAGGGAAGATAAGATAAATGTAGATATGCTCTTGCCATAAATACAGGGATATGATTATACTTACAGAGAAGAATAAGATTAATGTAGATCTGCTCTTGCCATAAATACAGAAATATGATTATACTTACATGGAAGATAAGATAAATGTAGATATGCTCTTGCCATAAATGCAGAGATATGATTATACTTACTGAGAAGATAAGATAAATGTAGATATGCTCTTGCCATAAATGCAAAGATATGATTATACTTACAGGGAAGATAAGATAAATGTAGATATGCTCTTGCCATAAATACAGAGATATGATTATACTTACAGAGAAGATAAGATTAATGTAGATATGCTCCTGCCATAAATACAGAAATATGATTATACTTACAGAGAAGATAAGATTAATGTAGATATGCTCCTGCCATAAATACAGAAATATGATTATACTTACAGGGAAGATAAGATAAATGTAGATATGCTCTTGCCATAAATACAGGGATATGATTATACTTACAGAGAAGATAAGATTAATGTAGATCTGCTCTTGCCATTAATACAGAAATATGATTATACTTACAGGAAAGATAAGATAAATGTAGATATGCTCTTGCATAAATGCAGAGATATGATTATACTTACAGAGAAGATAAGATAAATGTAGATATGCTCTTGCCATAAATGCAGAGATATGATTATACTTACACAGGGAAGATAAGATAAATGTAGATATGCTCCTGCCATAAATGCAGAGATATGATTATACTTACAGGGAAGATAAGATAAATGTAGATATGCTCTTGCCATAAATACAGGGATATGATTATACTTACAGAGAAGATAAGATTAATGTAGATATGCTCCTGCCATAAATACAGAAATATGATTATACTTACAGAGAAGATAAGATTAATGTAGATATGCTCCTGCCATAAATACAGAAATATGATTATACTTACAGAGAAGATAAGATTAATGTAGATATGCTCCTGCCATAAATACAGAGATATGATTATACTTACAGAGAAGATAAGATTAATGTAGATATGCTCTTGCCATAAATACAGAGATATGATTATACTTACAGAGAAGATAAGATTAATGTAGATATGCTCCTGCCATAAATACAGAAATATGATTATACTTACAGAGAAGATAAGATTAATGTAGATATGCTCCTGCCATAAATACAGAAATATGATTATACTTACAGAGAAGATAAGATTAATGTAGATATGCTCCTGCCATAAATGCAGAGATATGATTATACTTACAGAGAAGATAAGATAAATGTAGATATGCTCTTGCCATAAATGCAAAGATATGATTATACTTACAGGGAAGATAAGATAAATGTAGATATGCTCTTGCCATAAATGCAGAGATATGATTATACTTACAGGGAAGATAAGATAAATGTAGATCTGCTCTTGCCATAAATGCAAAGATATGATTATACTTACAGGGAAGATAAGATAAATGTAGATATGCTCTTGCCATAAATGCAGAGATATGATAATACTTACAGGGAAGATAAGATAAATGTAGATCTGCTCTTGCCATAAATGCAAAGATATGATTATACTTACAGGGAAGATAAGATAAATGTAGATATGCTCTTGCCATAAATGCAGAGATATGATTATACTTACAGGGAAGATTACAGAAGAAGTCGGGCAAGTCATGATGAGTTAACAGAGGAAGAAGTTCAGGCTTATCTTACAGTAAATATTGTCCTATATAATTATATGCCTGTAAACATTTCGGCGTATAATGTTATGCACCTGATTGTTCGTAGGTCATTCTGCCTGTTAGCAGGTTTTGTGTCCAGTCTGTATCTTTTGACCCAGTGCAGGGAAATTGAAACTTCTTGACAGAAATGTTAACCATAACAAGACGATATGCAGAGCAAAGGTTTGACCTTTCTCAGGTCAAGGTCAACCTGGATCATTTTGTATCAATTTCAAAATTTTGTGTCCACTCTATATCTTTTCAACCAGTGGAAGGAAATTGAAACTACTCGGCAGAAATGTTAACCATAATGAGACCATGTGCAGAGTGCAGGCTTGACCTTCCTGAGGTCAAAGTCACACTAAATCATTTTGTATCATTTACAAGTATTAATTTTGTGTTGGATAAGAGTATTATTTTAGACTGGATATTTTTGCTTCAGATAAAGGTTATCTTGAAAATTGAGATACATTGTACCTTGTTTATTTCAGTATGTTCTAGGTCAGATGAGGTCATGGAGTGTAGGTGTGGCAGGGTTGCTATTGAGGTCAAAGTTAGAGAAGGGTAGCAGTCGGAGATTAGAGAGATCCATGAGACAAATTGAGGTTTGTTTATGTCTGCATTCTTTATTCTCTTATATCACAATGTGACAGCATAAAAACAGAAATCATTGTCAAACTTGTATTTATGTTTTGGACCACTTAGGGAACAGAATTAGTAAATATTGTATCTTTAATAAGGTAGTTCTTGTTATTTTCACATGATATCTATTTGTCCATTTTCAACATTGAATCTCAATGTAATTGAACAATGATAATCAGTGTAAAGCAAAATACATTCAAATTTAAGGATATATTTCTTTTCCATCATTGAGAAGTTAAAACCCCTGTTTGGACAAGCTAATACAAACAAAAATTATTCATATTTTTTATATTCAAATGTTATTATTTCCATGAAACAATGTAAGTTTATGTGTTATTATAGAAGTTTCATTATACATGACTATTGTACAATTTGTTTTAGTTGTGATAATTCATGGACTGTATTTCACATGGAAATTTATGGTAAATATTTCATATGTATATATAAATTTAAACACCTTAGAGTTTTTTCTAGAGTGTATAGTATATATATATTTGATATTTTATATTCCGCTTGAAGGAGTTGTTTAATCAGACAATGAGGGAGGAGCCATCTGCAGGTCAGAGGTCACATCTTTTCTACGCTGTAAAGATAGTTCCTGTCTGGGATATGCAGGTGGGCTTTCTCTTATAACAGTAGATCATCCAAATACTCGAAATAAAATAAAATAACTAACTGTGCAATTATACTTCAATTGTATTTATTTCATACATATGTATTGCAATATCATATATAACGATTGAGCTTTCAATACCTTACTCCAAATTTGATAAAAAATGATTCTATTAAAATATTATGGAATAATTTTGGCCGCTCAGAATTGTGTTTGACCGAAGGGCAAGCAGGCATGGTACATGCACCATTGTTTAATACGCAAGTATAGCAATGAACAAAAAGCACATAAGCATGTCGTCACTGAGTGAGCTCACCAGTTCGCTTACACGAAAAAGTCCGAAGTAAGCCAAAACAAAAAGAGCTGAAAATAGTTTGCACTCATAGTTGTTATAACATACTCCTGGTAGAGTATTATATACGGAAATAAAGATCTGCATTGTAAGTGGAGCCCGGATATCACAACAAGGATGACATCTTCTACACCCTTCTAACAATTTCTGAATTACAAAGATATTGGTAATATCATAAAATCCGTTAAGTTTATGAAAATAATTTATCCCTGCAATATAGGTAGAAATTGTGTTCGGTGAATGGCCTTTTTCGAAGCAAAATGCCATAAATAAAGAAATATGATGAATTGGAAATGGCCATTGATTTGGCAAATTATAATTTTGTCTGAATGTATTAAAGACATTTATGCTAGTGTTATAAGTTAACATAGAATTTGAAGCTATTCCCGATTGTACCAGTCGTCTAGCTCTGTACTGAAGACATTCCATAGGAATTCTGGGAACGGGCAAGGATGTAAGTCTGCGTCTGGAGCCAACTTCCGGAATCTGGTTAACTGAAACCGAGATAAAGCATCGCAGATATCATTTGAAGTACCCGGCACATGATTTGCTCGGATTAAGACATTAAGACTCAGGGATCTTAAAGTAATTGCCCTCATCAAGCTCATTACTCTATCTGACTTTGAAGTTGCCTTATTTAAGATGTGAACTACTGCAATATTATCACAGTTAAATCTTATTTTCTTATTCGCTAAATGATTGCCCCAAATGAATAACGAAACAAAGATCGGGAAAAGTTCTAAAACGGTTATGTCAGCAGTAATACCAGATTTATGCCAAAATTCCGGCCATTTTGCCTGACACCAATGACCTTGAAAATAGATACCGAACCCTAGATTGTCACCGCCAGCACTGTCTGAAAATAGCTGTACATCGTCATTAGACACCCAAAATTTGTCATGAAAAACTGAAATACCATTATATTTTTTAAGAAAAGCTAGCCACATAAGTAAATCCTGTTTTGTATCTTTTTTAATACGAACACGTAAAAAAGGCTTACTAAGCCCACATATTGAATTAATAAGCCGGCGTAGGAATGGTCTACCTGCAATAATTGCCCGGCAACAAAAATTAAGAGAACCTATTAGTGACTGGATTTCCTTCACAGTGCACTTTTTCCGACTCAAAATGTACAAAATTTTATCAATTATTTCCTGAATTTTTGGCATGGGTATCCGAACTTGCATTTTGTCCGAATCTAATTCTAGGCCTAAAAATATCAGACATTCAGTCGGGCCCTCAGTTTTATCCATGGCTAAAGGAACACCCAATTCAGTCATGGTATCCTTGAATATTTCTAAAGCCTTGTTACAAGAATTTGTTGTTTTATCTCCGCCCAAAAAATCGTCAAGATAATGTATTAAATTACCGGATTTAAATTTAGATTTTACACAAAATTCTAAAAACCTAGCAAACCGTTCAAAAGTTACACAGCTAATTGAGGCCCCAAAATGTAATGCTTTATCAAAATAATATTTATTTTTAAAACAAAAGCCTAAAAGCTCAAAATCAGAGGGATTTATTGGAATTAAGCGATAAGCGCTCTTAATATCTGACTTAAAAAGTTTACAATGGGGACCTAACTCTTGTACCATCTTAACGGCCTCGTCAAAACTTATATGTTTTTATGAATAATAGCTGGCCAGATAACATATACATGGTATTGGCAAAGATCTTTTTTTTGCACCACAAGAAGATTTTTAAAATACGTTTTAATTCATGTGATTGTTAAAAATTGTACATTGTTAATAGAGACCATGACACTGTAATTTTACAGAAACAACTAGCTGAACTATTGTTGGCACTGGGTGCTATTGGTTCAGCTTTACAGATCTATGAGGAGCTAGAGATGTGGGAGGAAGCTGTGGCCTGCTACCAGAGACTTGGTAAATCTGAAAAGGTAATGTGAGCCGTGTCACGACAAAACCAACATAATGCGTTTGCGACCAGCATGGATCCAGACCAGCCTGCGCATTCGTGCAGTCTGATCAGGATCCATGCTGTTCGCTTACCAACCCTATTTCAAGTAGCAAAACTGATAGCGAACAGCATGGATCCTGATCAGATGCGCAGGCTGGTCTGGATCCATGCTGCTCGCAAACACATTACGTTGGTTTTGTCATGGTGCGGCTCTTATATTATATCATACAAGTAAATTTCACAGCAGTTGAGTTTGATATCATACATATTGCATCAGTAAATTTAGAAGAGTAAATACTTTAGAAGTAGATATATAAGATCTGAAAACTTTGATATTATTTTAAACATTATTTGAGCTTAACCATGAAGAAAGTTTTTATCTTACATTGTTGATAAACCATTTTTGAGATCTGACAGTGAATACTAAGAAATACAGGGGTCTAGTTTGAAGAGGTTAATAGTGTTTTGAAAAATCTGAAAATAAAGGTATTGTTTGTTTCATTCTTAAAAGATTAATATGGCTTCTATTATTGTTATCTCCAATCAAGTTTGCTTATCTATGTGATATTATATAAAAGAAAATAGTGGTATTTATATATTTATATTTCTACAGGCAGAGACAGTGATAAGAGAGCAACTTGCTGTGAGAGAAACTCCAAACTTGTGGTGTTTCCTTGGTGATATAACACGCAATATTGAACATTATGAGAAAGGTTGGGAGTTATCTAAACATAGGTCAGCACGAGCTCAGAGATGTATGGGATACTTGTACTTTGCTAAAGAACAGGTCGGTTTATTTATACATGGAGTGTGCAGTAAAATTTTTACAATATGTCATATTATTCAGCTAAACAGGAGTTAAAAATAGACTTTAAAAATCTTCTCAGAAACTAAAATGTCCAGAGCTTAAATATTTGGCATGAAGCATCACCTTGTGGTCCTCTACAAAAGTCATACAAATCATGCTTATGTGGTCAAAAAATTGCCCCGCCCTAAAGGGGTCACTTAGTTTATATAGACATGTATAGGAAAATAAATTGTTTTATTATTTGTGAAATTTCAATATCTCAAGCTTAGATATTTGGCATGTATTTAGCCTAGTGGACTCTACAAAAGTTATGTAAGTCATGCCCCTGGGGTGAAAATTGAGTTTAGTAAAAATGTCTTAAAGGCCCATTTTCCAAAGAAAAAATAAAAACTTGATATATTTCCAATTGGTTAGTTTCATTTTAGTTCATTTTGAGTGAAATACTGTTTGTTTACCAAAATTTGACTTAGAAACTAACATATATAAATATGAACATTGACCTTAGCTTTGATTATTTGAAAGTTCTGTTTTAACACTGTAATGATAAATTAATGAAACGAAACACTTAAGGAAATGTTGATAAAAGTGGTGATGATAACATTTGTCAGTATGTGTTGGTCTATATTTTATATATACTCGTATATATAAAATTGAGTAACTGTATAGCGTTGCACTAAAAATATACTTGTACCATTAACCTGACTAAATTCTCAGTACAGAACTTGATGTTAACTAGGTCATACACAGATATATATTTAAAGCTTTTAAGAAAGGGTGGTGTTAAATCATGAAAAAAAGATTTTGTATTTTATTTATCCAGTATGTATATTGAGATGGTACTCTTTTTCAGTATGCAAAGTGTTTAGAATGTTTTGAGAAGTCCCTGAATGTTAATGCTCTACAGGTAATAATATAATGATGCTTACTTTTATACAATATCTTATATTTACATGTTTATTTTGTATAAAATGTTTTCATAATGATATATAATCATCACTAACTCTACTGCTTCATGTAAAATAAAAATGTTTTATTTTATCATATAATATCAATTTGAATTAAATTACACATAACTTGTTGAAACTATTTTGAGAAACAATAACATGGATATGGTGGCTATGTTATTGAGCAGTTTTCAAAATGTTTCACTATTCTCAGGAAGTTGATTATTTTAATATGATTCACATGTTGGCTTTGTTGTGACACAGCTCAAATATTTGTAATAATTTCTCAGGTACCAGTTTGGTTTACATATGGTTGTGCAGCAATGGCAGCTAAAGATTTCAATCTTGCTGTGAGGGCATTCCAAAGATGTGTGAGCATAGATTATGATGTAAGTTTATAAGCTAGTTTGTTCATGTTGAAGGTATATCCATTTGTTTTAGCTTAGTAAGGATTCAGGGCATGTCATCAGGCTTACCCTTTATGAGAAATGAAATAATGTAACGAGAATTTATTTCTGTATGATTTTAGTAAACTATAGAAAGTGGAATACAGATTTAAAAATAGATACAAAACTGTATGTGGCTTACTTAACACTGATTGTAATAAAAAGTGGAGAAAAGCCAGTCATTCACCTATTATGCTAAGTGCCTCATGTTATGTTTTAAATGTATTAGGTAATACAAAGACAATTCAGGCCAAAGCAGTTTAATCAGTTCCAGCCCAAGTAATTGCCCTGTAAATATTAGTTTTAACTTGTGGTGCCTCAGATTTACCTGGAACAGCCCAAGTTTTACCTGGTTATGTCCAAGGTTTACCTTAAGTTAAATATTCCTAAGTTTGCCAGGTTCTGACCCAGTTTACCTATTAGTGCCCAGTTTGCAGTGAAGTGCCGTAGTTTACTTGGCCATGCCCAAGTTTACTTGGTAATGCCAAAGTTTTACTGGTAGAACCCCAGTTTTACCTGGTCACTATAATTACCAAGTTGCTACAAGACAGAACAAAAGTACATGTATATCGTCTTTTCAGAAATATGAATAATTACTTTACTGACCTGATTTTCCTGTTACTTTTAGAATTTTGAGGCATGGAATAATCTGGCATCGTCATATATAAAACTAGGGAAAAAGTAAGTACCTAAACGTTCTTTATTGTTATCATATTAACTTCTTTATATTATTATGCCTCCCTTCAAAGAAGTGGGGGTTTATTGCTTTGCATTTGTCTGTATGTCGGTTGGTCGGTAGACCAAATGGTTTCCAATCAATAACTAAAGAACACTTAGGCCTAGGAACTTCATACTTGGTATGGTGACTGTTCATGACCAGCAAATGACCCCTATTGATTTTGGGGTTAAGGGGTCAAAGGTCAAGGTCACATTGACCTTGTAGGTAAAAACAGTTTCCCATCAATAACTTAAGAATGCTTAGGCCTAGGAACTTTAAACTTGATATGGTGATTGTTCATGACCAGAAGATGACCCCTATTGATTTTGGGGTCAAAGGTGTAGGTAAAAGACGTTTCTGATAACTGTAGATGCTTAGGTCTAGGAACTTCAAACTTGGTTATTGTGATGATCATGACCAGTAGACCCTTATTCATTTTGGGGTGAGAGGTCAAGGTCACATTGACCTTGTAGGTAAAAACAGTTACTGATCAATAATTTGACAACCCATGGACTATTTGCCCTCAAACATTTTGCAGGTGCATTGGACTTGGCAAGTAGATGACCCCTTTGATTTGTGGGGTCAAAGGTCAAGGTCGTATTTACCTTGCAGGTAAAACGGTTTCCCATCAATAACTTGACAAGCCATTGGCTGTTGACTCTCAAACTTTGTAAACTGTGTTGGTGTATTGATCTTGGCAAGTAGATGATTTTGGTGTCAATGGGTCAAAGATCCTGGTCATATTAACCTTTTAGGTAAAAACAGTTTCTGATCAATAACTTGACAACTGAAGTTGCCTTGGTTGATATTTTTTATTAAACTAAAAATGCTTTTGGTATACACATTTCAAGGTCTTATGTAATATAACAAATTGGCTGTCATTAAGAAGGCCTACATGATTCATAAATTTTATGCATATATTATTTGGTAAGATTTTTGATAACTTTGTCATAAAATTGCAATACACAACCTTTACAGTCACAATTACCTAGTGACTAGTTATGACCAGTAGATAATCCCTTTTGATTTTTGGTCAAAAGTCATAATAACCTGACCACATGACTAATTGGCTGCCGATAGGGGGCATGCATTTTTTACAAACATACCTTGTTAAAACTTAACTCATAGCTTCATAGCTTGTCAAATAATTGAAATTTAACATGATCTTAATTTTGTATTGTAATAAGTTAAATTTATTTTGATATCCAGATACTAAAATTCAGATGACAAAAAATGGTTTGGTCAGATTTTACATACCTGTATGTGCGGTCTTCTCTTATTGTTTTCTGATGGAATAGACATTACTTATTGCCATTAGAACTCAAACATAAAATAGTTGTGAGACTTCATACAATGGTCAAGGGCAATGAAAGGAAGTGCAGTGTACAATAACCATAACTCCATCTTCAGTATTTGTAGAGTTATTGCCCTTTGCTCCTTTTCCTTGTCCAGTGCATAACTTAAAAACTTATGTTTAGAATTCAATTCAACTTCATACAATAGTCAAGCACAATGAGAGAAAGTGCAGTGCTCAGGAAGTGTAACTCTTTCTGGACTTATTACATAGTAATTCAATAAAACTGCATCAATGGTCAACCACATTGAAAGGAAATGCTACTTACAAGAACCACAACTATCTTTAATTGCCCACAACCATAACTCTATTTCAATTTTTTTACAAAGTGGTTTGTGTCTAGTAACTTCCTCATTTCCAAAGCAGTCTTGCGGGGGTATTAATCACATTTAGTTGATAGTTCTAGTTTGTGCTAAAATGAATCTTTACACATCTGCTCCTTCTATTTTGCAATGAAATATATTGACAAACATGCTGGATAGAAGTGGATCAATCTGTTTTGTTTTACATATCAGATATGTTTCCATGTATTTGTATTTAAGAAGGTTGACTCTTTATTTTGTTCACTTATATTTATATTGAGAAAAACTCTCTGTCAAATATAATTTTAGGAAAAAAGCATTTATGACGTTAAAAGATGCAATAAAATGTAACTATGAAAACTGGAGAATCTGGGAAAATTATTTACTGGTAGGTTATTCAGTTTTTATTATCCGTTTGCTTTTTTTCTAAAGTTAGAGAAGAAAATTTTATATAATGAGATATAGAACAGCAAGGCTAGATGATGCCTAAATAGTAGTAAATTGAACATTAAGACAAACGCTTTGTTACAATTTCTTAGAATGTTGCATTGCCAGTTCTATTCAGGGAAGGAAAAGTCAAATGTTAAAAAAAAACTCAAGTCCTTTTAATTTATTTTCAGCTGCAAGCAAATAACATTGTCCTGTATGGAATCTTGTTAACGTCAGTAAAATTAAAATCTAGATATTAAAATATATGATATTATTCAGGTTGGAACAGATTGCGGGGAGTTTGGTGAAGTAATAAGGGCCTATCACAGATTATGTGATCTGAAGGAGAAATGGGTAGATGAAGAGGTAAGAGGTTTGTGTTGTTATAAAATACCATCCTGTGTTTCCTAATCTATAATATAGTTAGCTAGGTCATATATTGTGTCCTGTAAGCCAAGTGAAATTTGTCAAGGCTCCTGTTGTCTATATTTAATGAATGGATGTATAACATTTTATTCAAACATTAATTTCGACTATACAGAACAACTTTGAGCTTAATTGTAACATTTTTATATGCTGTTATTTTGAAAATCTGTAAAATCTTATTTTAAAGATATTTCCTTTATAGTTTTTTGGATATTTGTTGTTGGTGTTAAATCATGAATATGATATTTGGTATACATGTACTATAATACTTCTACATTATACACAATATTTCACATGTTGGGTAAACTATTAAATGTAAAACCATGGTAAACTTGTACAATAAACCATATTTCACAAGTTTGGTAAACTATTCAATGTAAAACCATGGTAAACTTGTACATTATAAACCATGTTTCACAAGTTTGGTAAACTATTCAATGTAAAACCATTGTAAACTTGTACATTATAAACCATATTTCACATGTTGAGTAAACTATAAAATGTTAAACCATGGTAAACTTGTACATTATAAACCATAATTCACATGTTGAGTAAACTATTAAATGTAAAACCATGGTTAACTTGTACATTGATTTCCATAATAATTGATTTCCATAATCTGTTTCATATATATCAGTTGACCGTAGTCTTTATCACAATGATATACTGTTGGGTAAACTATAAAATGTAAAACCATGGTAAACTTGTACATGTTAAACCATGTTTCAGATATTGGGTATACTTGTTAGAGCTGTTAATGAGAACCTACCAGATGCTCAAGGTAATCCAGCAAAAAGAATAGAACCAAAACTCCGTGAACTGTTTGGAAGAGTCACTTCAAGGGTAAATGTTGCTGTGTATTATTTTGTTTTGTTTAGGTTAACTTTTTGATTAATAATGGGTCTATTCAATTAACCAGGGAGTCAGTGGCTGCATAATGCTTTGGTTTAAGTTCTACAAATTCATATCTCATGAACCCCTAGAAGTATTTGCTTGTAACTTCATACATGACTGAGTCACTGTCCAAGACCTCTAAAAATGTTTTTTGACTGAATTATATCCCTTTGTGAACTTAAAGATACAGGTTTAAGTTTTGCAAGAACACCAATTCACTACACTATTTAACATATTCGTTGTAAATTTGGCATGTATTTTGACTCATTTATGGCTTTTTGTGAACTGAGAAAATTTCTGGTTTAAGGTTTTTAAGCATCATCAATTTCAATCAACCACCATATTTCAGAGGAACATGGTATACATATAAAGATTTGAATACTTATTTTAGGTGACTGATAAAGCTGAAATATGGAGATTGTACGCTCAGTTGTGTACTGATGATCAAGATAAGGTGTGTGCTATTACCATATATAATATTCATCATCAGTTAATGTCATTACTATCTTTATCAATAAAATAATAAATAAAAGTCTGCAAGCTTACCTCAATAGGATGGATTTATTATTAACAGACTTTGGTTGGCGAAATTTCCATGACATATGGTGTCGGACATTGAGACTAATGGTCATTTTGTCCAGAAATCATGTTGGATTAGTAGTTGCGAAGAATTTGAAGATTGTAAATAAGTTATCTAGGAAACTGGCTGGGTTGACCAACTACTGAGATATAACCAAAAACCTACTACATAATAACATGGTAATCAACATAACTACTGGATAAACAAAGAAATAAAAATACTTTTTTGATAGAAATTTCAGATAGTACTTTATTTTTTACATCAGGAAAGCAATTTTGCTTTTCTGTACCAACATCTATTTATCCTAAGGTATAGAATTGTATGCAATAATATTATGACTACATTATTTCAGATGTTACAGTACCTTCAGAAAGCACATAGATGTGTGATGCAGACATCAAACTGGGAGAAAGATATAGATCAGTGTCATACTGTAGCCCAGCAGTCTCTACAACTTGCTGACAGTATGTCAACTCTTATTAGTCCCCTATCAGTTTAACCGGAGGGGACTTTAGGTTTACCGTCAGTTCGTCTGTCCGATTTTTACGCTTTTTCACTATAACTTCTTTATTCCTTAAGGTACTTACTTCAAACTTTAAATTTTAGTTTCTGGTCATCAACCACATTATATGTGACAAGGTTTACAACCTAGCACAAAAATTATCAGAATTACCTCCCTTGAACTTGGAATTTTCATGAAAAAAATGTAGTTTTTTTTAAATCACTTCTTTATTTCTTAATGTATCTGCTTCAAACTTCATATGTATGTTTCTTATTATCACTCAACATATTTGAGAAGGTTCAATACTCTGGCAAGACTATTTACAGAATTATGCCCTTCTTGAACTTTTTCGAGAAATAGGTATTTTTTCTCCCAACTTCTTCATTCATTTTAGGATTTACTTCAAACTCCCACATCATAATAATGTAACAAGATTTTTTTTCCAACAAATTGGACCTTTTTGATAATCTGTTGTATAAACATAATTTCCTTACTTGGCAGGGAAGCTAACACATAACTATGATATAAACAAACTTAGAACTCAAAAGATTTAAGTTCATTGATGTCATTCATTCAGTGGGATAATTGAATGGCCAATGGCCCATCAGAATGTTGCTGGGGTTCTAACCCGTGATAATTGCTTGTCTTTATGAATTTTATATATTCACTCTTGAATATGGTATATATTTTTAAACATAGAGCCAGTGAAGTAAGAATTCTAAATGGCCAACTGAATGCTCAAATAATAAGATATTGTTCACTGAACTAAATAAAGTTCTATCAACATAAAAACAGTAATATTTCAAACAAAGCTAAATTATACATTGTAAAGTACCTCAGTTAAATGACCATGTCTATTGATATTCTAAACAGAATAGAACTGTTTGATTATGACATAATTATAATTTTGTGGCAGACATAAACATATAGTATGTCATCATGTGACAGTGCCACCTCCCTACAAAACCTTATGTGAAAGACTATTTTACAGCAAAGCTAAACATATATGTTCTGTTTTCTCTAAATATTTTCTTTCACTTTGAAACTACCTTCTAACTAACTGTTGGCAAAATGCCAATCATTTAACAAAGATCTGTGAATCCATAACTGAAATAGCCACAGAAAGTTAACAGGATGTATTAATTAGGTGTTCATTCAAAATAGTTATATCTCCTTCTTGGTCATTTGAGGTTTTATTTTTCACATCAAGTTTTCAAATTATGCTATGTTTCATTTACCAATATAACTTAGTATTTCCTTGTTTCTTAATTTATATTAATATCAAAGGAATAAAACTTAACAAAATGGAAAAGTTGGTTGCTGTTAAAGTGTTAAGTATGTTATTTTGTTTTTATAGGCTACGTCTCAGCTAGTAGTGTGGCGAAAACTTCCACGCAGTCTCTACAGTTGATGTCATCAGCAAAATTAATGATAAAAGGTGTTCTTCACTAAAATTAAGGTCAGTGTAAGACGTTTTTTGGTTCTTAATGAAAAGGGAACCTAGCACTTATTTGTCTCTGGTAGTCCTAGGATTTGTACAGGCCAAAGCAGAATACTGGGTGCTAATTTTTTTTGTGTATAACCGAAACATTATTTGGTATTTTTTCATAGAAAAAACAAAATTAGGGAGTGATAGTTATAAAAAGGTCCAAAGGAATAACCAGGTAGTGTATGTCTTGGTGTGAACTTTGATTGGAGACAAGAGGAGAGGATCAGTTAACTCTGTTTATTTTGCTGGTCTTTTGGCAATTGTTTTGCCCTTTGATATCCTTTACATGATTGTTATGTTCTTTGAAAAATAGAAGACTTCACAAATGTTTCTTGTTGGGTAAGCATTTAATCTGGTTTGTCTGTCTGGTTACATTCTCAAAGGAAGTTGATTTTAATGACTTTAACCACTTTGTTATTAAAATAATTCTGCATGGTGATTGTAATTTTAGTGTTTCATTCATTGTTGGCAATTGTTGAACCATGTTTTAAAACACCCAAATTGTGTTCATTGAGACTTGTAAGTCAATATTTTAAATTAAACTTTATTCACTTGTTTAACAAACATGTCGTTATTCCTATTAATTTCAGCAAACAACATACAGATCCTATAACAGAGAGATTACCATCAGACAAGATACGAGATTTATGTTCACAGATACAAAGAACAACTAGATTTAATACTTATACACAATATACAACAGTTAAAAACTTGAACAATAGACGAGTGACTGCTGATTTATGGTCATATGAAATAAAAAACTGAAAATCAATCAATTTACATTGTAATATTGGTAAAGTATGGTTAAATAAAATGAATATAGAACTTAGTTCATATATTTGAATTTGTATGTTTTGAAACGACAATTGTTCTATGTACTGTTACAAAGAAAAAATAACATCTTGGATTTTTTACAGTGAATAGGTCTTTAAAATAAGTTGAATATACACTTTTTTCTACAAGTATTTCAAATAAATTTAATAAAAACAATAGAAGTGTATTCAGAATATTTTATAAAATATATTGCTTTGAAAGAAAAAATGTTTGATAAAATTGATTTAGAATGAAACATTTTTTAGTGATGGTTAAAAAATTTTTTGTTCTTAGAATAATTTATTCTTGCTATTAAATATATGTAATATATTGACTTCTTGCCAACAACCATTTCCATGTATAATTATGCCCCCACTTCGGGAAGAACAGGGGGTATTTTGCTTTGCACTTGTCGGTCCGTCCCGGTCCGTCGGGTTTTCCGTAGACCAAATGGTTTCCGAGTGATAACTAAAGAACCTTTATGGCTAGCGAACTTCCCAAACTTGGTATGGTGATTTTGGTCATGCCAGTGATGCCCCTTTGATTTTTTGGGGTTCAAGGGGGTTTCAAAGGTAAGGGTCACATTGACCTTGTATTTAAAACGGTTTCCATCAATAACTAAAGAAACGCTTAGGCCTAGGATCTTTCAAACTTGATATGGTTGATTGGTCATGACCAGCAGATGACCCCTATTGATTTTGAGATTCAAGGGATCAAAGGTCAAGGTCACATTGACCTTGTAGGTAAAAAACAGTTTCCGATCAATAACTAAAGAACCCCCAGGCTTAAGGAACTTCAAACAAAGCTTGGGGTATGCGTGATTGGTCATAACCAGCAGATGACCCCTATTGATTTTGGGGTCAAAGGTTCAAGGTCACATTTTGACATTGTAGGTAAAAACCGTTTTTCCGATTCAATAACTAAAAGAACGCTTAGGCCTAGGAACTTCAAACTTGTGGTATGATGTTGGTCTATGACCAGGAAGATGACCCCTATTGATTTAGGGGTTAAGGGTCCAAGGTCAAGGTCACATTGGGACCTTATAGGTAAAAACGGTTTCCGAGTGATAACCAAAGAAACCCTTAAGGCCTAGAGACTGTCAAATTTGGTACGATGATTGGTCATGACCAGCAGATGGACCCCTATTGATATTGGGGTCCAAAGTCAAGGTCACATTGACCTTGTAGGTAAAAACGGTTTCTGATCAAATAACAAAAGAACGCTAAGGCCTACAAATTTCAATATTGGTAAATGATGATTGGTCATGACCAGCATTATGACCTCTATTGATTTTGGGGTCAAAGGTCCAAGGTCACATTGACCTTTTAGGTAAAAAACGGTTTCCGAATCAATAACTTAAAAAGGCTTAGGCCCAGTTACTTTCAAACTTGGTATGATGATTTGGTCATGACCAGCAGATGACCCCTATTGATTTTTGGGGTCAAGGGTCAAAAGGTCAAGGTTTCACATGACTTGTAGGTAAAAACGGTTTCCGATCAATAACTAAAGGAACCCTTAGGCCTAAAGGGAACCTCAAACATGGTATGATGGTCATTGACCAGTAGATGACCCCTATTGATTTTTGGGTCAAGGTGTCAATGTCAACTCAACAACTTCAAGTTGCCTTGGTTGATATTTTTATGTCTTTTGGTATAACACATTTGAAGATCTTAATGTATATAACAACTTGGCTGTCATTAATGAAATGAGGCCTATGTGATTCATAAAAAATTTATGTATAGTATTATTTTGTAAGATTTTTAATATCTTTTAATTGCTGCACACAACCTAGGGGGTCCACAATAATTATTTACCTTGTGACTAGTCATGACCAGTAGATACTAGATAACCCTTATTAATTGCTTGTTCCACTGGGTTAGAAGTCATGCATAATAACCTTTGATTCACATGATAAATGGCTGCCCGATTAGGGGGATACATGTTTTACAAACATATCTTGTTCTTTCTAGGTTTGCTGTGATGTATGATACTTAATACTATCAACATGATTATTTAATATACAACAGACCTTCCATTATAGACCTATTCACTTTATGCATAAAAGATAATTGCTGTCTGATTAATAAACCGTAAAATAACAACAAACAAACAGTTATCTTGACCCTTGGGAGTCAAAGGATCAATTTCTGCATGTTTAAAACCATTTAAACTTCTCCAGAAGAACTGTTCTATATAGCTAACTTATTTGATAAGAAGAAGTATCATCTGGTCCTCTGCAAATATCTGATGCAAATCATTCCTGCAGGATCATAACTGGTTCTTTCCCATGGTCACTTAGTGACTTACTTTACTTTAGATTTTGCATAGGAAAATACATTTAAATAATCGTCACTTAAATCGGATGGTTTAGTAGCGGAGGTTTTATCATGAAGTTTTCTATAAAAGTTATTTAAATTATGACCCTGACAAAAGTAATTATAAATTTACATCTGGGACCAAAAAAATGTTTTGCTCACAAGCCCTGTGAGCCTCTTATTTTATTGTACATAGAATAAAACTATAAATTAAAACATTTACCTTTACCTTATATGTTAGTACTATAGTGTATAGGAAAATTGATCTAAAACTTCAATGCCCAGACCATTTAGTATAAAATTGTCATTCTCAATTGTACAGTTTTGTTTTATGAAGACTGTTTTAGAGATTATGTAATATTTAACACATTTATGTTAAATTGAGAAACATCTACTGTGTTCGTGTAAAGAAATTTGATAAAAATATTTCAATTCTTCATCATTGATATTTTGTCCGTATATATAAGATTTGTAGACATATGAAGTGTGTTTAGAAGTTTAGATATAACATCCTTTTAGTACTTGTAGTCTATAATTTTGGTATGACGTGAACCGGTAGTTTTCATATTCACTAAGTTGTTTCATTCCATCTTCGACCTTTCTTTTCATATCCTCATTTAATATATTCATTTGTGAGTTTTGTTTGAGTAATCGAGACAATCTATCATACCGTTGCTTCTTCATTGTAAATTCATAGACGAGGGACTCAGCGGTTCTACCGATTCTTTTGTGAACATATTCACTCAAAAATTTTTTGCATGCTTGAACATGATGAGTTTCTATCTCATGAATTATCATTGTATATCCGAATGCTCTAGTAACTTCTGATTGTATTGATTCTAAATCCGACAAAACTCCCGCTGTCCCTGTATTTAAACCTGTAGTGAATAATTCATGAAGAACTTCAAATATATATCCTATTATTTTGCAGCCTTTCTTTCTACTACTGATATATCTATGATTTGTTTCAAAAAGGAATATGTTAAATCCAGAGCCTATGTTCGGAAGTAATTCATCTTGAAAACATGCAGATAATAGTTTTATAGTGCTTAAGAGACACCTTCCAAGGTCAGGTTTAGGCAAGGTACAGTTTTTAATATGATGAAGTACAGCGGTTTTAATTTCATAAGAAGTTACTTTAAGTTTTCGCTGTAAGCGGTCACGCAAGTAAGAGAAGTTAAATAACTTTTCCTTTATGAATTTTAGGATCATATACATGTTCCTATGTAGCTGACATGTTTGTTGCAGCATCTGTACCTCTATGTCATAGTGAGATATTCTCCAGCACCCACTCCTCCCGTCACAGCTTGGTTTAAATTCTAAATTAAATGTATTGTTTGGAAAAAGATAGCAGTTGCTTTCCACTTTTGATAAAACATCTCTTTCCTCCGAATTGTGTTCCAGCAATCGTTCTGGAGCAACAATCAAAACTGGATGGATGTCTACACAGACATCACGAATATTATCACTATGATATTCGATTTGAGTGGAGGATAATGAAGAATGAATCACACTTTCGTGATATTTCGGTTCAAAAACGAAATGAATTTTGTTTCCATGCATTTCAGATAACTCAAGTCTGAGGCAACCAGTAGTCATATATACACTACAGCTTTGACATCCGTTAGCTATTTTGTTACTGTCTTGATATTGGTTTCTTAGTGACGGACAAAACGAATTTTTGCAATTCTTTTTAACTGATTTACACAAATTGTGACGGAATGTGGTAATAACGTCAGTACTTAAACAAACATAGTAATCAGTTGATACCTTATAAAGAGGTTGCATTGATCCTTCACAGGATCTTTGAAATTTTAGCTCGCCACATCTTGGCCAGGATTCCATTTCAATAATGAAATCATACTCTAATGCTTCATTTCCTTTGATTCTTGTTTTCTCAGCCATACTTCCGCAAGGTGTCACACGTTTAATATTAAAGTCTGGAAACATTGCGATCATAAGACCAACAAAACGATTAATTAATTGTTCCAGTCCATTTGTAACATCTTCTACTTCTGCCTTTTCATGATTCAAACAGACCTTTTCAATAACATCACTACAAAACTCCTCCATATTTGAATTTTAGACTTGACTACATATCAGAACATAATGTTCATTACAATTTTAAAAGTACTACACAAAATCAATATTCCTATGAATGACACAGAAACATATGCTTTTTGCATTCTTTGGTAATGTATTGTCAACATTAAATTCCAAACACAACTCTTTAAGTTTATTTGCTGACAGAAACTTTATTTCTTTGAAACTGTATGTTTTACTTGGTTGTAAGGTATTACTATCGCTTATTTTCTTTGACTTCATTTCTCTGTATTATCAAATCATTGACATACCTGAAAAAGAATACAAATCATTTTTAAATTGCTGTATCAGTCTGCAAAATATAGACACAGCTTAGGCCAATGTTTAGCTAAATTCCATTTTGTACTAGCATAAAATGTAGGGAAAATAATCCCATGGTTTTGTAATGCTCTTTTTCTGGCCGAAGGCCGGTCTGTTTTCAATATGACCTGTAAAATTTACAGAGAAGAACTGAATATAAGAAGAGTTGTCATTTGTCATTTTAGAATGACAAAATGAAATCTGGGAATCTCATTGGCATTCTAAAACTAAATGTAAAGGATAGTTTTTGTCATTTTACGTAGTTCTAAACTAAAATGTAAAGGGTAGTTTAACTTTCTGTTTAATTGCTGAGATAATTACGTTTTGTTTAACATTACTTCTTGAATTCAGATCTCATTACATTTTTCAACGAACAGTTTATTTTACATTTTGTACGTAAAAAAAAGATCTGAGTTTCAAATTTTGTCCAAAATAACGAGAATAATATCAGAATTTTCAGATACCCTTAGTTTATGATGTTCAATTTAAGTGTCAAATATACTTCTCGGGGCTAAGCAGGGTACTTTTACCATCTAGCCTGAAAGTTCATAATATGCACTGGCAATAAACTAATACAAAGATTGAAAAGTGACATTAAACTGTTTAATAGTGTTTGAGTCTATTTCAATGATAACACAAACAAATTAACATAAGGTTTAGCTGCAAACCAGTATGTTTATTTATCCCACCCACTTGTTTACACAAACAACAAAATATATACGTTAAAATCTCGATATTTTTCTGCAGTTTGAGGAAGTTGTTTAATTCTTGTTCATACTAAAGCAATATTTTATCATTCTTACCATGAAGGAACACAGCAGAGCGTATAAAGTTAACAGCAATTTGTCTTTTACTTCTGTAGACTTTCGTTGTGTACACCTCCTTATTTTTCTAAACCGGAAATCACCCCGCGCTCAAAAGATTGTGGGTTTTGTAAATAAACTCATCATTTCACAATAGCTATACAAAAACATAAAATGAGCTATTCATGAAAATAATTGAATTGTTAATTATTGCATAAAATAGACAACCGACAGCTCAAATCAGAACATAATATTCATTTCACTTTTGAAGGTCAAGAATCAACGTCGTGTTTATGTTTAAAAATTTATCATTTCACTGTCCTACATTCCTTGTTGTTATCTGAAAATAAACGATAAACGCTTTATAAGATAAACACTAGTTGTACAAAACCAAAATATAAAATATTCATGAAAATTATTATGTAGTTATGTTATGTAGTGGTGGGGTTATGTGAAGATAAACTCTCAATAAGTTTTATCTTTTAGAAACCTATAACAAAATGAAATGATTATAACACAAATAATAAAGAGAAATATTATACATTAGAAAATTCATAAATTACATATTTAATAATTACAATAATGCCAATTATTACAATATATACATTATTAACATTTCCTAATTACTATTATTAAATTAAATCTATAGATACAAGGTTTGATAGAAGAAATCTAATGTATTAAATATTTGAATTATAATGTAATTTTTAAATATTCAAATATAATTTTTTCTTGGGATTTCTTTACCTTTTGATTAGATATCAACTTATAATAAAATGATAATAATAAAAATGACTGCAGAAATAGTAAAATACAAACTAACAATCTCAAGCTAATTCTTAAATTATCCAAAATATATATTTCAAGAAACATTTTATTTTCTCAAAAACTATTCTCAACATCAAGCTTAACTTAACCTTCATTCCCCTTCTTTTACATTTGAACAATCTCTTATCCTCTATTTCTTTCCAAAAATACAATACATGTAGAAACATTATAAAGAATTAGTTCATTAATCTTTTCCCCTGTAAATGTAGTATCCTTAGTATCAGATATCCGAGAATTTTGTAGACTAGTAACTTTAAAGTTTAACCATATTTCTTATCAACAATTGGCCCAAGAGGTCTTACTGGAAAAAATAGAACATTCCAGTACAAGATATTTGAGATTTCTGTGTGCGGGAAAATGTTGCTATCGTTACGATCCTACTCTTACAATAACCAAACAAACTTCAAATATCTATTTTCCAAAAGCACTCAACTGAACATTTGTCCAGTAGTTTGACAGAAATAGTAAGTGCCCTTAGTGTCAGATTTATTTATTTATTACGCTGTTCCCTTCTATACACAGACATATTCAGGCTAACTTAAATACCCATTTCTCAAACTTTCTTCAATTAAACGTGTGTCCATCAGGTTTTGATTTTTTATATTATACATTAGATGCAAATGAAGTAGAATATAAAGGTGGGTTTGTTTTAATATGTAATAATTCAATTATACCGGTAATAATGTTTTGTTATCCTGTGTAGTATGAATTATGTATGAGTCATAGAACTTGTATATTGCACGAGTATTTCGTGACAACTTGACTTTACTTGAATTGTATGCATTCCGTTTAGTATTCAGTATCATGTTGCACCAACTTGCTAGATTTGGCTAGATTGAAAACAAAAGAAAAACGAGAAATGAAAATTTAATAGAAAATTACACAACACTTAAAATATGTACAAGAAAAATACAACGTATTCTTATTTGATTATTAATAATACTGAAATATGTTTTGCGAAAAAAAGTACAATCCGAACCTGACTGCCTAGCATTGATATTTAACTTAAAGGCACACTTTGCCTCAGAAATCCATATTTGTTTAAATTGTTTAGAAAAGCAAAACATCTGTGCCGTAATGTTTAGATAATAGGTTAAGTGCATGAGACAAAAATGCTCGATTCGAAAAATAAAAAAGCCGTAAGCATTTTTTTCTGCATCAATTTCTTTTGGATATGCGCCAGTCTACGGGGAGAAATATAAGCATGCCACTTATTTTTGGATCACCTTCAATATACGAGCTGTTTTATCTTATACTTTGTAAAACCTTGAAAGGTCAATCTTCAAAACTGCGGAAGGTGTTCACTTGAAATTTAATACGTGACTCCTAGACCTAAAACATGTTCTGACTGAAAATAAATTTGATTTTAAATGAATTATGGACCCTTTAAACTTTGAAATCTTTGAATAAAGTTTATCTTTACATCATTTACTTTAAATTAAGTTGATATTTACCTTTGAAACTTCACACATGCCTTAGGGATCATAGTTGATGGTTACTACCTTACAGTTCTGAAATGGATTTTGAATTTATTATAACCCTTTGTAAACAAATAAATCCTGGTTTTGTTCGCAAGGTAAGTGGCATAAAACTATTTATGTTATCACTTAAAACTTTGGACAAGAGTAACTTTTTGATTTATTGAAATATGACCTTGACGTTCAAGTCAACTTTCCAGTACCGTCCATAAACAGGCTCAATCAAACCGAGCCTGCAACATTTTCAATTTTGTCGTGTTGGGCTTTCTTTAGAGATTCTGTATTTCCCTATTTTCTTAATGAATGAAGTTTAATAAACTTATTTATTGACAGAATTTTGTATGCATTTGTGTTTTATAGAGTTCTATCTGGCTAATTATATATATATTGTGTACTGATGATCAAGGTAAGGTGTGTAGTATTACCATATATAATATTCATCATCAGTCAATGACATTACTATCTTTATCAATAAAATAATAAATAAAAGTCTGCAAGCTTACCTCAATAGGAAGGATTTGTTATTTAGAGTCTGCTAAAGATTTCAAGCCTGTGTAATGCGAAATTTCTGTGACATGTGATTTTTGACATTGAGTCTTGTGGTAGTTTTTGTCTCACGCCACTGATTTATATAGAAATCATATTTGATTAGTAGTCGGTCACTTTCGGAGAAATTGAAGATTGTAAATAAGTTATCCAGGAAAGCTGGCTGGTTTGACCATCTACTGAGATATGACCAAAAACTTACTACATTGTAATCAACATAACTACTGGATAAACAAAGAAATAAAAATACATTTTTGATAGAAATTTCAGATGGTACTTTATTTTTTTACGTCAGGAAAGCATTTTTGCTTTTCTGTAATGCTTTTGCTTTCCTGTACCAACATTTATTTATCCTAAGGTATAGAATTGTGTGCAATACTATCATGACTACATTATTTCAGATGTTACAGTACCTTCGAAAGGCACAAAGATGTGTGATGCAGACATCAAACTGGGAGAAAGATATAGATCAGTGTCATACTGTAGCCCAGCAGTCTCTACAACTTGCTGACAGTATGTCAACTCTTATCTTTATGAATTTTATATTTATAACTCTTGAATATGTTATATATTTTTAAACATAAAGCCAGTGAAGTAAGAATTCTAAATAGCAAACTGGATATTCAAATAATTAAATATTGCACACTGAATTAAATAACTATCAACGTAAATAGAAATATTTCAAGCTAAGCTAAAATATACATTGTAAAGAACCTCAGTGAAATGACCATGTCTATTGATATAGAGAATAATAGGTTGGTGCCGTGGATGGAGAAATTTTATCTGGCGAGGCGGAGGAATTTATTGGGTGAGCCGAAGGTTTTTCTTTAAGAATTTTATTAGTCAAACTACCTTTAATCACACTATCGGAAATGTTTCTATATAAACAAAGAAGGCCCGAAGCGTGCATTATTCTACAACAATGCACTCGCCGTTCTTATTATCTCCCTGTGTATTTTCACATTGAGGGCGCCATTTTGTTTGAAAAATGTGATAAATAAAAACAATGTTTTGTCGAATTTTGTTGTGAAAACTATCTAGAATGAAAAAAAATGGTCTAACTAAGAAAATGAATTCGAACACCAATATCTTTTATTCAGTCGTTAACTCTGTACAGACGTTTAAAGTATTGTTTACGTGACGTCACAATGTAGCGCCAAACAGCACGTGCAAAACAATCAAATCAAGTACGCTATTCTAATGTCGCAAACAAGTTAAGTTTTACATTTATTCACTTTTAATATTTTCTTATTAACAGTGCATATCCATATCGGTACCCTCTTTGCGAAATCTGCTGAAACGGTACCCTCTCTGAACATGCACAGGTCATTCTCTGCCAAAAACAAACCAGCGATGGATACCAATCCAGTAAAATTTCATTGTAATAAGGAAAGGAGGTATGTCACGTAGAAAAGATGTATACCACGGAACACTAGGATGTTTTATTTATTAGTCCAGTCAGTCTGTAAATCGACCTCAAACAAATTGCAAGAGAAAATATTTTACCTGGTATAGAAAGTATATGGAATAACATGAATCATATCAAAAGTCTAGCAAAATCTAAGTTGCGCAACATAGAAAAAAACGGGTTTTTATCGCGTTATTTTTTTGTGATTTTTTTCTGACGACAACGGTCTTCCATAGGCGAACAAAGCGTCTACAATACTCAGAAAAGCGTATGCATAATGGTGACAACAACAACAACAACATAAGTGTAAACAAATTAAATTCAGTAAAGTACACTGTAAAGTGGGTTGGTATATTTTCCTTAAAATATTACAGATCATAATAGGAATAATTAATGTGGGGTCGTAACTTTAATATGAGTATTTGTTGAAAATTATTACTTGTTTTACCAGTTCTTTATCCATTGAAGGTCAACAGGGGTTTCAAGCATTCTGTATTATAATATTCACGGAAAATAGTTTAACTCATCTAAATTACAACTCTGATTAATTCCTGTCTTAGTAAACATTCTAAAACGGCATACAAGTGTGTATTTATAACAAGTTAATTTCGAAAGTATTTTTTAAACTATGGAACGCCATTATCACTTTAATTCTGACGAATTACATTAAATAAATTCTGAATACTTTAATCATGTTTTATTGTTAAATCATGTGTATTCAAGGTTGGTTTTTTTTGTATTTTTTAATAGTTTTTTAAATTGTTTTACATATATAATGTATTATTTCAGGGGTACCGCTTTGAGGCAGTCTTCATTGATGTATGCTTGATTTTGAAAATAAAAAAAATCCAGTACTAAACTATATGTACACTAAATGAGTAAGTTTGCTTATATTTGTAATATTTTTACATATATTACACAAATATCACACATTATCTTTTACTAGTTTAAGTGAATATTAAACATGGAGGAAATAGAGCGATGTATGCATAATTCAATATATATGAAATTATTTTCATTTTTTAATAGACATAGAAGACATTTATACATGAAAAGGTGACATGAAAAATTTATCAATAAACAAACATAAACAAACGTGATTTCTAGTTATGGTTCATGATTGGCGATGTGTATGAGTTCAGGTTAAACATGCACAGTTGATCCATAATTTAAAAGAAAAACTTTTATGCATACAATAGCACCTGTGTGAATTTGAAAAAGTGTATTACGTGTATAAGATTAATTCACAGCGAAATACGGATATATTTGTATTTCTTTC